TTTATATATTCTGGATGTAGCCCAATTTACCAATATTTTTCTTTTATGGCTATGTTAATCTTTATTTCTTTTTATTTTTTATAATAACTGGATCATGTTTTTGGTGTCGCATTTATGAAATCTTTTCCAAATCCCGAGTCAGAAAGATTTTCTCATATGTTTTCTTCTGGAAATTTTATAGGCTTAGCTCTTACATATTGGTCTATCATCCACTTTGAGTTAATTTTTGTGAATTACATAAAGGTCTAAATTCATGTTTTTGCATTTAGATATCAAATCATCCCGGTACCAATTCTTGAAAAGCCCACACTTTCCCCCACTGAATTGCTTTGACACCTTTTGAAAATCAGTTGACCACACATGTAAGGGTTTATTTGTGGACTTTCTTTTCCATTCTGTTGATCTCTATGTTCATTATTATGCCAATACCATGTATTCTTGACTGCTGTAGCTTTCATATAATAATTTTTAAGATTAAGCTTTATATAGCAAGCTTTGACATTTTCCAATTTACTTTGTCTATTTTAGGACCTTCACATTTCCATATGAATGTGAACAGAGAGAGTTTTGTCTCTTCCTTCCCAGTCTGTATTCTTTTATTTGTCATGTCTTACTGCACTGGCTAAAACCTTCATTTGAATAGAAGTGGTGAGAGCAGACATTTTTGCATTATTCTCAGCCTTTTTTAAAAATTTAAATTATTTTTTTTCTTTTCTTACAAGTATGTTGTTTTTAATTAAAATTTTTTTAATTCCAGCATAGTTAACATACAGTGTTATATTAGTTTTAGGGGTACAATATGATGATTCAACAATTCTATACATGACTTGGTGCCCATTGTGATAAATGTACTCTTTAATCCCCATCGCCTATTTCACCCATCCCCCACCTACCTCCCCTCTGGTAACCATCCATTTGTTCTCTACAGTTAAGAGTACTTTTTGCTTTGTCTTTTTTTTCTTTGTTTTGTTTCTTAAATTCCACATATGAGTGAAATCATATGGTATTTGTCTTTGACTGGCTTATTTCACTTAGCATTATTCCTAATCTTAGGGGGAAAGTATTCAGTTTTTTGGCACTAACTATAAAGTTAGCTGTTAGTTTTTGTTGGTGTCCTTTATCAGATTGAAGAAATTCTTTCTATACCTAATTTCTCAAGAGTTTTTGTCATTAATGGGCATTGGATTTAGTCAAATGCTCAGTCTGTTGTGATGGTCATGTGGTCTTTTGTCCTGTCTTCTACTTATATATTATAGGAATTATTTGATTTTAGGATGTTAAACCAATCTTGCATTCCTGGGATAAATCCCACTTGCCCAGGGTGCATAATTCTTTTAATATGTTTCTGGAATCAGTTAACTAGTATTATGTTAAATATTTTTACATCTATTCATAAGGGATACTGGTTTGTTTAGTTCTTTTTTGTGTGTGATGTATTTATCTGGCTTTGGTATCAGATTAATACTGTCCTCAGTGAATTAGTAGTTGTTTTCTCTTTCTATATTTTCTGAAGGATTTTGTGTAGGATTGGTATTTGTTTTTTAAATGTTTGATACAGTCTCCAAAAAAGCCATTTGGCCATGAGTTTTATTTTATGGAATGATTTTTAGTTCCTAATTTAATTTCTTTATGTTTTATAATTCTATTAAGATTTTTAAAAATTTTTTCTTGAATCTGCTTTAATAATTTTTGGGAATTTAATAGTCATTCTAGAAATTTGGCTACATCATCTAAATCATCTAATTTGTTTGCATAAAGTTGTTCATAATGTTTCCTTAAAAGACTTTTAATTTCTGTAGGGTCTCTAGGTATGATACCACTTTCATTTTTTTTTTTTAAGATTTTTTAATTTATTTGACAGGAGAGAAAGAGTACAAGCAGGGGTAGCAGCAGGCAGAGGGAGAAGGAGAAGCAGGCTCCCTGCTCAGCAGGGAGACTGATGTGGGACTCGAACCCAGGACCCTGGGATCATGACCTGAGCCAAAGGCAGACGCTTAACCGTCTGAGCCACCCAGGTGCCCCAGTACCACTTTCATTTTTAATTTTGGTATTTTGTGCCTTCTCCCCTTTTTTAATCCCTTGGTCATTTTAGTTAAAGTTTTCTCAAATTTCTGGGTCTTTTTGAAAAACCAACTTTGGTTTCCTCAATTTCCTCTATTAATTTTCTCTTTTCTATTTGTTAATTTCCACTCTGAGCTGTATTTTTCTTCCCTTGGACTTACTTTTGGCTTGAACTGGTCCTTTTCTTTTTCCTAACTTTTTAAGATAAAAGATTATGTTACTGTTTTTAGGTTTTCTTCCTTTTCAGTGTAAGTGTTAAAATCCATAAATTACTCTTTCAGCATGCTTTGGCTGTGACCAAAATTTTGATATGGCATGTTTTTCCAGGTTGGTTCAGTTCAAGATACTTCCTAATTTATATTTCCCTGTAATCTCCTTTTTTTTGACTCATAATGTTCTATGAATAACCTGGATTTTGCCTTCATACATACTTGACTCAAGAGGTAGAAATGAATTAAGTGAGCAACAGAGTATGGGACCGAAACCTATTGTATTGAGATCCAACTCCTATGGCTATGGACCGCTACCGCCTAGCAGTTCTGAGCATGCACTCTGAAGCCAGGCCAACTTTTTTTTAGCCCATCTTTATCACTTACTGCTCTGTGACCTTGAGCAAGTTATTTAATCCTTCATAGCCCAGTTTCCTCACTCTATATCATAAAGTTGCAGCAAGGAATAAATGAGTGATATATGTAAAGCACTTAGTGTCTGGCATATAATAAGTCTTATATGTTAGCTCATCAATAACCTAGCCTAAAGAATCTCTCCCATTTAACTATTAACAGTAGCTGGTGGAATTGGATGGAGAAAATCTACCGACATAGGTTAAAATTAATTTCTGTGTTGTAAGACTTCTTAGGGAATAGAGTGTCAGGGTTGAAACCAACACTTAACTTTTTATTTGAAAGAAATAGTCTCCTGTGAAATGTGAAATCATATAGGAATTTTATTTTAATCCCATAAAAGAAACAAAAGGATGATACGTTCAAACACACACACACAACTATCTTGCTTATATTTTATGGCATGATTAATATCATGAAAATCCCAAGTATCTGAGATAGTTGCAGTTTTCCTTTATGATGTCACCCATCTTTAATAGTCTTTCCTTCTCTTACCATGAGTGATGTTTATTATATTTGTTAAGATGTCTGTTTTACCACCACAGTGTAAGTTCTTTAAAAGCAGAGAGTACAGCTTTTCATTATCAGTCCTGTGCCTGGAATATAGTAGGTGTTCAATAAATATTTGTTGAATTAATAAATATATGTAAATGAATCAATGTATACTTAAAGTAAACAAACTCTAGAGACATCCACTCCCCCTAGGGCTGTGTGGGCATTTCCTTTCAGACTATTTCTTAGAGCAGTCAATAAAGGAGATATTTCATTGGTGAAAGTGGAAGTGACAAATGTTGATTTAGAGGGATGAGCAAGTACATGTGAGCCTTTGATATTTATGAACCCTCCTGTGGTATCTGGAAAAAAATTATTTTCCAAAATAGTTCCCCCTTATAGGTAAAGAATACTGTGATGATTAATATTATGTGTCAGCTTGACTGGGCTAAGGGATACCCAGATACCTGGCACATTTCTGGGTGTGTCTGTGAGGTTGTTTCTAGAAGAAATTCCACAGTAGGCTGAGTAAAAAGATTGCCTTCACCAATATGTGCAGGCATCATCCAATCCACAAAAAGGCTGAGGAAGGGCAAACTCCCTCCTCTTGGGCAGCGGAGCTCCTGGTTCTCGGGCCTTTGGACTTAGACTGAATTATGCCATTGGCTTTACTGGGTCTCCAGCCTACAGAGAGCTGACTGAGACTTCCCGGCCTCCATCACTATATGAGCCAATTCCTACAATACATCTCCTCTTATATGTCTCTCTCTCTATATACTCTTGGTTCTGTTTCTCTAGAGAACCCTGACTACAAACACATTATGGTTGACTTCCCGAAATCTGTTTGACCTCAGACGAGTAGGCTAAGCCAGTTAGTCTAAACCAATGAGTTAATTCCATCCTCCTTTCGATGGTGCAAGACCCACACACAAGCCAACTCTGTCTAGTGAAACACGGGAGGACGTCTGTAGGCAACTGCCGGGAAAGTTAATTCTCTCCCGTGAGAAAGGAGACTTCCCATGGGACTAGATGCTATTTCTTCCTTGTACACACATTGTCTTATCTGGGATATACCACCTGGAATAATTGCATTAAAAGCCTGAAGATGAAGCCAGTCCAGCAGGGGCAGCGCAGAGAAATGGAAGGAGCCTGAGATGTTGATGGTGATGCCATCAGGTAGTTAAATCAAATTCCATGAATCCAGGGCTACCTAGCCACCTCCTTTTGTGAGATAATAAGTTTCCTAATTGTTTAAGCCAGTTTAAGTCAGAGTTGTGTGTCCTTCAGACTAAAGCACCCTTAAACAATAGGAAATACAAGCATAGATTTTTACAGCTCAGAGGGAACTTGAGATAATTTAGTTTAAAGCTCTCATTTTTAAAATGAGGGAATTGAGGCCCAAAGAGCTCAAGTGGCTTGTATCAAGCCACATATAGAGTAAAAAATAGAACCAGGACTGAATTCAGTCTCTAGGCTCCACTCCTTCTCTTAATATTTGATAATACATAATTTCATGGTCAAGAGAAGGGTAACCAGAGAATCGACGTGTTTTCAGTGTATTTATCTGTAACTGCACTCTGGAAGTTTCTAGAAAATCTTTTGCTTTTCTGAACAGATGCTGCCTCTCCTTTCTTCTTCCACCTTCTTCCCGGAAAGAAGACAGGGTGCCTGGAAGTGCTGCAGCCATCTTGTATCCACGAGGCAAAAAGCCAATCCACTAAAAATGCATAATAAAAAGATAGGAGCCTGGAAATCTCACCAGCTCCAGAATGGCTGACGTGACAAATGTGGGTTCATATTTGTACAAGTTGAGTTTATGAAACTTGAAGTCAAAAACATTCCTAAATGATACTATGAACCATTCTTTTCATATTGCACACTTTCTCTGACAGACTAAGACTGACTCCAGCAACAAGAGCTCAGCTAGAAAATTTTCTTTTTTGAGGATTATGTGTACTTCCCCACGCATTTACTATTCTTAAGGTATATCTGACTCATTTTATTTTTTACTTTTTATTTTGAACGAATTTCAAATCTATACAAAAATTGTAAGAATAGTACAATAAATTTTTATGTGCTTTTCATTTAGATTCACCAATTGTTAGTTAACATTTTGCTACATTTCTGGCTCTGTCTCTGTCTCTCTTTCTCTCTCTGTATACGTACACACCTACAAACACACATGTATTTCATATGTAATTTTTCCTCAACCTTTTGAGAATAAGTTGCAAATATCATGAACTTTGACCATAAAATGTTTCTCTCTCTTAGAAACTAGGGTAGTCTTTTACATAACTGTATATAATTATGAAATACAGAAAATTTAACACTGATACAGTACTGTTAACAAAACATGGGTCATATTTCACTAGTTGTCCCAATACTATATATAGCAATACTTCTGTCTTGACAAGAAGCCAGTCCAGGATGACACATTACATTTTGTTGTTATATCTCTTTAGTCTCCTTTAATCTGGAATGGCTCTTCAGAATTTCTTTGTCTTCTACAAAAAAAAAAAAAAAAAAGTTTAAGAGAACAAGTCAGTTGTTTAGTAGAATTTCGCTCAACTTGGGTTTATCTGGTAGTTTCCCCATGATTAGACTCAGGTTATACAATTTTGGCAGCAACACAACATTGTTGATGTTGAGTCCTTTGCAATGCATAGCATCAGGAGGGATGTGATGTCAGTTTTCCCTGTTACTCGTGGAGTAAACTTTAGTCACTTGATTACAGTGGAGTCCACCTCTGGCTCATTCTTATACCTTTAATGCCTAAACTCTCAGTGGGACAGAGAATCATCTTTCTTAGGTGATTGGTGGGCTACATGGAGTCATTTCCATGGTTTCCTGGGTAGGCTTTGAATTATAGGGCCCTTTGATAAGGGATGGATTCAGGATGTACCTTAAAAGCTGAATTTGGAATAAGTGGAGATCGCTCCCTCAAAGATTCAATGAGCCCATTGCCAGATATTCGTAAGTCAGTGGGAAAGGGTTAAAAAGGACAAGGGCCATCTGGTTTTCCTTAAGGAGGGCTGAGCTTCCCCCAAATATTATTCCTTTACACCTGAAGAAGTTAAATGGTCCTGTTCCCATGGAATCCTCGACCAATGTAGCCCTGACCTGTGATTTATATAAAAAGTAGCTGGTCCTTCATTTTCCCCACAATGGCTTCATTCTTACCTTATGAACCTGCTTTGTCAGTGTTCACTTTGATTTATGGAAGATTTCAAACTCCCCAAATAACTATCCCTTTTCTTTTCATTAAAGTTAATCCCCACAAAGACACTTTCATCCTCTGATTAGTCATGCCCCAGTGAACCTTGCTAACCAGAGGCTAAGTTATTGATGTGTTAAAGATGTAATCTCTAAGTCTTGGGACCACTGAAGAAACCCCAACATGTTATTTGACAGTCAGAATCTCACAATGTATTGCCTCCTTTGAACAGCCTTGGTCGCATGCGTTCCTTGGGGTCCATAAATCTCTCTGGCCCGACTGCCTGTGAGGACTGAGTTATTGTGGGGCCAAGTTTAGGCTGCCAACGCACACTGCCCTGCACCCCAGGGTGTCATGGTGCCTTCTTCAGACTCCAGTTTCCATTCCCAATAACATGCATTCAGTAGCAAATCTATTACCCCAGAAGCAGCAGCTCATTGTTTTATGCCCTGACTATGGCCTTCCTCATAAATTTGCACCAACCCACAAGTCAACAAGACTGTAATCAGGGTGTGATATTGGCCACCAATCGCACTGACGCTTTCTCCTACACATTGATTTTGAGCAATGTGCAAGCTTGGCTCAGCCATTAGTGAGTCTTATTAGATGGTGTTGATGTCCTATCCACACAGAAGAGCAGCCCACATGGAAATGTGGAATAATCCCTCAACAACCGATTTTAAAGTCGTAAATTAAAAAAAAAAAAACCAAAACAGTAAACCTTAGAGCTTTTTACACATTTGAGATTCAGTTTGGTCCACATAAAGACAATGTTTCCCGACTGGCAGGATGGCTCATAGGGCATGTGGTGCCTGCTGGTTAGTGTTTGGCTTCTTCAAAGCTTACAGTAAATGGCAAGAGATTCCTAGTCTTTGGGACAATCTCAAATACCCACAGACATTTTTTCCCCTGAAAACTGTTTAAATTGTCTCCTGGGAAAGCAGCACCCCTCCCCTCTCCCAGTCAGCTAAGAACCACAGCCTTAAACAAAAGAAAAATAGCAGAAGGAGGAGATCTTAAGGTACTACCTTCCCAATTTACAGGCAGAACACCCATCCCAAGAAAACATATCCTGACCCTGGCTTTGTTGTTGTTGTTATTGTTCATTAATATCCATGCGTTAGCATATGCTTCTGTAGGCCAGAAGGCCAGGGGGGCCCCACTGGGGTCTATGCCCTGGCTATCTCTGGGCTGAAACCCAGTTGTCAGCTGGATTTACGTCAAAGCTCTGGAAAAGAATTGCTTTCAGGCTCATTCTGGTTGTTCACAGAATTCAGCTCCTTGTGGTTGTAGGACTGAATTTCCCCTTTTCTTGCTGAAGGTCAGCCAGGATCAGCTTCTAGAGGCCATTCACATTCCTTCTCAAGTGGCCCCCTCAATCTTCACACCAGCAACATCTTGAATCTTTCCCTCATTTGGAATTCCTCTGCCTTCCTCTTCTGCCACTGAGCTCAACAACTGGCCTATACCCTCTTTATTGAGATGAACCCACTGATCATGAGGTTGGATGTTGTGGCATTGTTAAGTTGCTATAGAATTGTCTAATGGCTTACTCTCGATTTCTATACCTAACTCATTGAAGACCAGTTTATTTTCTTAAATGAAAATTATTTTTTTAATTGTGTCAATTACACAGAGATAGATGATAGATACCCAAAACTCAGAGAACTGCTGTGATATGATTTGTCCTTGTCTTTAGTTCTGGCCCAGAGCTCCTAAAACCCTTGGAATTTCCTAAGTGATGAGAGGGATAAAGGTGTCTATCATGCTAATAAGGTGACTTTTGGAAAGCCACTAGGTAACCTAAGGATGGGGGCTAGTTGCCAGGGGAACAAAGCATGTGATTAGAGGGTTGGAACTTCCAGCCCCACCTCCTGACTTCTGGGGAGAAGTGAGAGGCTGGAGATTGAATTCAATCACAAATGGCCAATGATTTAATCAATTGTGCCTCTGTAATGAAGCCTCCATAAAAACCCAGAGGGATAGGATTCAGAGAACTTCTAGGTTTGTGATCCTGTGGAGATCTGGGGGGAGTGGCACACCGAGAGAGCAAGAAAGCTCCATGCCTTGCCTTGTGCATCTCTTCCATCTGCTTGTTCCTTAGTTATATGCTTTTATAATTAACTAATGAACGGGTAATCTAATCAATAAATGTTTTCCTGAGTTCTGTGAGCTGTTCTAGCAAATTAATCAAATCCACGGAGGGGGGGTGTTGGGATCTCAGATCTATAGCCTGACGATCAGAAGCACAGTGCCCTTGCTACCGGCATCTGAAGTTGCAGGGGGGCAATCTTGGGGGTCTGAACCTATGTAGACAGCGTCAGAATTGAATTAATTGTTTGATGGTGGGGAAAACCCCACAGATCGGAACTGGGTGCAGAATCAGAATTGGATAGCTCAGACCCTCCTCAACCACCTTGCCACAATCTCACTATCCTCTCTCTAGAAGAAACTCCAGTTATGAACCAGTGGGTATACATCCAGACAACTTTTAACTTTTAACACTTTACATACATTTATATGCACCTCTGGAAAAGGCATAGTCTTGTTTCATGTAGGTGTTTTTATATAAAAGATTACCACGCTCTACATCTAATCTGAAAGTTGCTTTTATCAGCAAGTGGTAGTTTTGGGGGTTATCTCTTGTGGTCCATCCATATGGATGTGATTCGTTTCTCTGAATGCACTGTGCGCTGTTTTATTTACACACTCCCCCTTGTGTTACACATTTATAGTTTTCACATTTGCTAGCCACGCTGCACGGGCAGTCTTGCACATGCCTCCTTGTGCTGAGGCACAAGCGTTTCTCTAGAGAAGATACCTCCAAGGGTAACTGCTGGTCCTGGAGTAGGAACTCTGAGTTGTAAGAGACACAGTGAAATTGCTGCCCCTGAGGGCCAGGTGAGACTAATCTAATCTACAATCGGAGCACTCGGAGATTTCCCTTGCCCCACATCTTCACCACACTAGATCCCATCCCGCTGAAATATCGCCAATCCCATAGGGATGACCTCAGTCCTCCTGGTTTTTGTTTGTTTTTTACTGAAGTATAGTTGACACAATGTTACATTAGTTTCACATCTATAACGTCACGTCGTGATTCCACGAGTCTAACGTTATGCTCTGCTCACCACAAGTGTGCGTTCTCTGTCACCATACAAAGCTATTACTGTGTAGGTCCTCGTTGTTTTAATTTACATTTCCCTACGTACTAATGAGACTGAGGAACTTCTTATATGTTTATTGGCCATTTATATATCCTCTTTAAAAAAACTATTGCTTATATTCTTTAACCTTTTTAAAATTGGATTATTTGTCTCTTACTGATTTACAAGCATTCTTTATATTCTTTTTACTAATCCTTTGTTTGCTACCTGTGTTGCAAAGTATTTTCTCACTGAGTTGCTAATATTTTAACATTGTTTATGGTGTCTTTTGGTGTAGAGAAATCTTTATTTTGAGGTAGAGAAATGTATCATTTTTTCCCTCCCTACTTTGTATTTTGGGGGTCTGAAAATTGCTTTTAGCACTTAGCAATAAGTAACTCATCCTTCACCTAGGGTCCTAATGATAATTTCTACATTTTCTCCTCATAATTTTAAAGTTCTATGCTTTATATTTAGGTCTTAAATCCATCTGGAAATATGGGAAGGTTGGGGGCTTAAGTGGGTGTACCTGATGGGAGATGGTGATTTTAGTCTCTTTCATATGTCCATTTATGGAATAATCTGTCTTCTCCCCACTGATTTGAAACCCCGCCCCTACCTTCTTCCATATACCATATACCATATACCATAAGCCCTACTATAGCCCAACTAACGTGAGCTTGTTCCTTGGTGAGTTAGAGAAATTGCACCAAGTGGAGTTGTTGCTCAAAGGGAACTTGATTTGCAGCAAGTAAGGAGATCACGGGGAATAACCTCCAAAGCCATGACTCCTCAAGCAAGGGTGAATGGGTTCCTTTTATTTAGGGCTAGGATGAATATTTAGGAAGGGGAGCCTTATCTTCATATGTAGAGGTGGGCTTTCATGTGACAAAGGTGAAATCTGTGCTAAAAGTCAGTGGGACCGTCATCAGCTTTGGGGCATGCAGTCTCCAGCCTCAGGCTGTAAATAGACAAGCACCGTGGTTTTCAGCTTTGGATCTCCTGCTTCAGTACCGAGACTATCAATCAGTGTGAACCAATTACCAAGGGCTAGGACTTATTTTATTGAGCTTATCAAAACCTTGGCCAGGCTCCACAACAACTGGTAATAAAAATATTCAGTTACTGTAGATGGGATTAAGTGTAATGTTTTGTTATGGATCAGAAACTGCTTTTGAAACAGGAAGCAAAGGGTAAGGACAAGCTCTGGGTGGAAACGTACCAAAAATGGAATCCTCATTACCTGTCACAGTGGTCTTTTCTTCTTTTTTTTTTTCCTTTTTTTTAAAAGATTTTATTTATTTATTTGACAGAGAGACACAGTGAGAGAAGGAACACAAGCAGGGGGAGTGGGAGAGGGAGAAGCAGGCTTCCCCTCGAGGAGGGAGCCCGATGTGGGACTCGATCCCAGGACCCTGGGATCATGACCTGAGCCGAAGGCAGACGCTTAACGACTGAGCCACCCAGGCGCCCGGGAGTGGTCTTTTCAAACCCTTTTTGCAAACCATAAAAAGTACCTAGCAAATCTTCAAGATTGCAAAGGGCAGTGTTAAGAACTCTGGACTCAGACTGGTTCTTGGGCACTTTAATCTGTAAGCCTCATTTTTCTGATCTGTAAAGTGAAAATAATTGTACCTTTTCATTGGGTGATGGGGATAAATAAGGTAATACACTACACACACACACACACACACACATATATTTTGAGGTAACGCATTTTAGATTTGTGCCTGGGGTTCCTCTGGTAAACTGTTAGTCTTATTTTTTTTTAAGATTTTATTTATTTATTTGACAGAGAGAGACACAGCGAGAGGGAACACAAGCAGGGGGAGTGGGAGAGGGAGAAGCAGGCTTCCCGCAGAGCAGGGAGCCCGATGCGGGGCTCGATCCCAGGACCCCGGGATCATGACCTAAGCCGAAGGCAGACACTTAACCAACTGAGCCACCCAGGCGCCCCGCTGTTAGTCTTATTTCTGAGAGGAAAAGACCAGCCTGGTGGGAACAAACTACAGAAAATCTCAATGGGACTGTGTGTTAATGGACGCCTGGGTGGCTCAGTTGGTTAAGCGTCTGCCTTTGGCTCAGGTCAAGATCCCAGGGTCCTGGGATCGAGCCCTGCATCGGAATCCCTGCTCAGCTGGGGGTCTGCTTCTCCCTCTCCCTCTACCCCTCCCCACTGCTCATTCTCTCTCTCTAATAAATAAATAAAATCTTAAAAAAAAAAAAAGGAACCATGTGTTAAGCCTGGAGAATATATGGAATGCATGTTCTAAAACATAGTGACCATCCTTACATAAACTCCAGGCTTCTTCCAGCAACATGTATCTCACTCGCTGGTATCACCTTCACCCAGTGGTCTGAAATTGAGACCAGGGCTCATCCTCAGGGGCTCAGGTCCTCCTCCCCACCCTCACATCCACCCATACATTCCTCTGATCTTGTCTCTAAATATTGATCACTTTTTCTCTCTGCTTTCCAGCCCTTGGTTTAGACCAGGGGTTGGCAAACTTTTTCTGAAAAGTGTGAACTAGTAAATATTTTTTGCTGTGCCAACCATGCAATCTCTGCTACAACTACTCAACCCCATGATCTGAGCACAAAAGCAGCCATAGATAATTATGGGAAACAATAGGTGTGACTGTGTTCTAAAAGAACTTTATTTACAAAAACAGGTGGAGGGCCAGATTTCACTCAGAGGAGGTAGTTAGCTGGCCCCTGATTTAGACCGCCAGGATCTCTTGGAGCTTAGGATGCGTGGCCCCTGGGCCTCCCTACAGGTCTGATCTAATCCTGTCATTCTCCATCTGAAATCTTTCAATGGTTTCCTTTTTTTTTCTTTCCTTCCTTCTTCCTTCCTTTCCTCCCTCCCTTCCTTCCTTCCTTCCTTCCTTCCTTCCTTCCTTCCTTCCTTCCTTCTTTCTTTCTTTCTTTTTTTTTTTTGCAAAGGGTGGTCTTGGACCCTATCATTAAAATCACTTGAGCTGCTTTTTAGAATGCAGAATTCTAGGCTCCTCTCCAGAGCCACTAAAAGAGCATCTCAGAAGGACAGGTTGGGGGAGCTGAATATGAATGAATACCCCATGGAATTCTAATGCAGGAGTTCTCAAAGTGAGCCCATAGACCCCTGAGTGTACCTCATGTGCTTTCAGGAGGTCTGTGATGCAGGGAAAAAATCATAAAGTGTGTTGAGCATGGGAGACAAGCCTTATGGAGAAGGTGACAGCTGAGTAAAGGCCTGAGGGAGGAAGCATATCTCTGCAAGGAATGTTCCAGGCAGAGAGAAAGCTCCCAGGCTGGCATGAATGGTGAGAAGTCCAGTGTGGTTGGTGTGTGTGTTGGGGAGGAAGGGAGAGGGAGCAATGAGAAAGGAGGAGACAGGGCCGCAGAGGAAAGGGGCCAGAACAGATGGAGTAGGGCCTTGGAGGCCATTGAGAGACTTGGCTTTCCTCTCAGAACCAAATGGGAGCCGTTGGAGAGTTTCAGGTCAAATTATGCAAGCTATTCTAGGAATTCTAGCCATCTCTTCCTCCTTCCTCACACTCAGTCTGAGCATTTATCTCTCTCCCTCTGTGGGCTGCAAGTCCCTTGAGGATCCAGGCTCTCTGTCTTACCTGCTTTTCTCCGTAGTGCTGGCCATGCCTAGGATCTTGTGGGGTCCTCCACAAGCAGTGATGAATGTCAAAATGCCTTTGTTTTCCTCCGTGGCTGGCTTCTGATTTTAGTCTGGTAAGAACCTTTTGAGAAAAAAACAGCCTTTTTCAAATAAACATGAAAAAAATACTCATTTTTCTATGTGAAGCTTAATAAATGACCTATTATCTTAAAAAAAAAAAAATTCCACCATCAAAAACACTTCACCAGAGAACGAGAAATCAACATGCTTTTCCTTTGTGATCATAAATAAATCTGAATTAAAAAATTAGTGTTTTCCGGATGCAATTCTGTGGCGTTAAGAAAAGCAAATCCCTCTTTTCTGTAGTGGGCCGTTAGGGAGTTTCCCAATTCTCTTTTCCGCTCTTCTCAGAATGTGGCTGGCCTCCTGTGTTGACGTGTCCCCTCCACCTCCCTGTGAGGATCTTTCTGGGCAGCGTTTTCCTCAGCACCATCTGAGGAAGAATTAGGCAGTCTGCACTAACCACACGAGCGGCGCCCCCCTCGGCCTGACACCCCACCACGGCTGGACCCCAGGTGCCATGCCGCGTGGCTGCCACTCTTCATTCTGGCCCACTATTTTCTTCCCCTCGGAGTGGACAGCCAGTCCTGACCCCCGGGGACTGAAAACCTAGGGAGACAAAACACACCTGCCACCAGGAACCGCCCTTCCCCATCCCCTTCACTTTCAAGAAGGGGGAAGGAGGAAAGGAAAGGTCCCCACATTGTTTTCCAAAGCCTGAAGCCTAATGAACCCTAGTGGAGGGGATTTTAAGGAAGAAGAACATCTCAGCTCAAAGAAATCATAGTATCCTATATGGATGCAAGGATACGAAGAGCGCCTTCCCTCTGGACTGAAGGTCTGCGATGTGCTGTATCGCCCCATGGCTGGAGCTGGCGGGGTCGGTCCAGGGGCCAGCGCCGTGCCTGTCATGTGGAAGGAGTGCTCTGTTAGTATTTGTTAAACGGAGGAGGGTGAGCTGTTACATAATTTGAAATACTAACCTATGTGCTTCCCAATATTCCCTCTATCCCATAACCCTCGCTCCACCTGGAGGAAGCAGCCACGGGGAGGCGGTCACTGCCCCAGGGAATGAATGATCGGAATACCTGGGTTTTTGAGGGAACTCAGAGCAGAAACCACTGATTTGGGCAAATTCCTTATGAATTAGATTTCCTGAGTCAGTGGAGCCTGCGTGGGGAGAGCACCCCCTCCGTCGTTCCTAGAAGTCGTGCCCCAGACAGAGAGCCGGCTGCCAGAGCCGCAGGTGCGTTTGAGGAATCCAAGAGATGGGACTGGGAAGTGGGTACCAAGACCCCAGAGGACATGGCTGGGATGGCCTCACCTGGGAGCTGAAGATGGTCTCCATGAGCCTTAGGGCAGCATGGACGGGGGGACAGCCTGCCTCTGTGGGCCCAGCAGCTGAACATCCCTCGGGCCGTAGGGGACACCCAGAGAGCCAGCAACCACTCCAGCAGATGCCTCTCTACTGCTTGGAGCAGAACAGGGCCGGGCACAGAGCAAGCACCCCGTAGCTACTGAATTAACGTAGAGGTACTCAGGGAACACATCTAGTTTTCCACTCTTCCCTTGACTAAATTGTAACCCATTTTGTGTCTGTTACTTGTTTATAAAGCAGAGACATTCTTTTTCTTTTTAAAATTTTATTTATTTATTTGAGAGCTAGAAAGAGAGCATGAGCAGGGAGAGGGGCAGGAGAAGCAGTCTCCCTGCTGAGCAGGGAGATCCATGCAGGACTCAATCCCAGGACCCTGGGACCATGACCCAAGCCTAAGGCAGACGCTTAACCAACTGAGCCACCCAGGCGTCCTAAAGCAGAGACATTCTAACACCTCACTAGAAACAGGGAAAAGTAGCACCCGTGTACCCTGCAAGACATTGTAAGGATGGCTCTGACAACTAAGACATGCTTCCTGAGCCCAATATGTACCAGTTGGGAGAACAAGGCTCAGGGAGTAAAAGGAAAAAAATAAGCATACAAGAGCCAGATGAGGCTGACCATCATTGCCAGAAGAATCGAGTGAAGGGAGAGATTAGGCAGGAGGAGGATATTGAAATAAGAGTAGGATTGACATGAGAGGGGCAGGGGGGAGTAGGGAAGGTATGGTTGGAGAGAGGAACTGAATGAGCAAAGAAGGTGAAGCAGGAATGAGCACGGTGTGCTCCATTACAACAGACTGTCAATCAGAAAGGCTGGAGCGGAGAGTTGATGTCAAGATCTACTCATGTGACTAGAGAGAGGGGCCAGCCAACTGTGACAGTTCTCAATGCCAAGCTAAGGAGTCTGGACTTGGCATGGAAGCAGAACCCATGAACTATTTTGCAGGACCCAAGGCAAAATGAAAATTCGGGGTTCCTTGCTCCAACATTAAGAGTCTCAACACAGGACGGCAGAGCATTCAACCACGCACAGGGCAGGGCCCGACTGGTACCCCCGTGACCCCCACGCTGCACGTGAGCGTTGAGCATTCATTGCAAGACTTTGAGAGGAATATGCTGGATTAGTGTGGCATGTTAGAAAGACGAGCTGTCGGTACCTTCTAGGTGGGTGGGGACAGGAAGTGGCAGAGGGATACCTATTAGGAAATCGTTGGACTTGTCCCAGTGTGGTAAGAAGTGTACAGAGAAGGTCGATGGTTGGAGGAATGAGACGAAGGGTCACGTGTGATGTGTTAGCGGGGGTCGCTGTCTCTAGGGGCCGAGTGGCTTGCACCACCTTGACGCCATGGCTTGCACTGGGTACTAGAGAAGGCTGGAATCACAGAGAGAAAGAGGAAGCATGGGAAAGGAGCTGGTTTAGGGGGGTAGGTTGGTGAAGGGTAAGCAGGCTCAGTCGTGCTGAATAGGGCGTAGGGCAGGGCCTCCAAGAAGAAATGTCCGGCTGGCCATTGAAGATGAGGAAGAAAGTTCCAGTTTGGCAATGTAGATCCGAAAAAAGTGAGAAGTGTTGGGTAGCTGTTGAGGTTGTGGGGCCACATATGCAATTTCTTAGGAATCAAGTGGATACATAAGCAGGGTGCTAAAAACCAGCCGAGTACCTTAAAACAGCATTTTCTACCTCCACTTAAAGGACTTGGGCAATCAGCCGTGATGTGGGAGCCAGCAGCCTGGTGGAAGGCTTTCTCAGTTGCTATTTCCATAAGGTGGCTGTGCGGAATAACAAATCTATTTTGATCTTTCAGCGCTAAAACATGGTAAAAAAAAAAAAATGCCGAAATACTGGTAAAAACTGATCAGCATTAACTGTCAAAGGGCTCTTGGGGCAGGTTCCCCAACCCTGTCCCCCCACCCCACATTTTAATGATCCATTTATTTTTCAGGCAATTCTTTCAGGAATTTGAAAGTTTAAGCAGGGGTTACATAGAGAACTAACAGGAAATGTCTCATCTTTCCAAGTTTATTGTTGAGAGTGGCCAGATGTCATTTGTTTGTGAGTGGGAAATGGGAAGTTAGATCACAGAACGTGAAATTTAAAACTCCATGCTAAAAAAAAGGGGGAGGGGAGAGCGGAGAGGAGAAACACACACAGGGAAGCCACTTTGCCTCCTGTGACTTATGTTAACAGTGTAGTGCAGCAATGCTCACGAGCAAGACGCTAATATGAGAACATGTTTTACTGTCTGCAGGCATCACTCCCTTCGAGGTCTGTGTGCAAACAGCTGGTCTCCGCCTGGCCGGGCCAGGGTGTTTGGGAGCTCTCTGTGGATCTGCTGTAATTATAAACCCCATGAAGGGCCAGGAATGGAGGCCAATGTTCTTATTGGTCATCATGCCCCAGAAAAAAGAATGAGAAAGGAACTTAAAAAGGAGTCCTTCGCTTTAGCGCTTACAAAAGCAATTATACTGATTTTTTTTAAATTATATTTTCAGCCTCTCTGGTTTAAACTCTGGGTCAAACACTTCCAGACTATTCAGGCTGGCTGGCTCAGATCTGGCCCCTTCGTCTCTAATTGCTCACTGCCTCTCCCGGAAATACCCTCTTCGTCCCTTGCTGTTGCTACAGTGGGCTTTGGCAGGCTCCCTCCCGGCCAGGTGTTTTCCCCTATGGTTGCCATGGCAGCAACGTTCAACAGAGGGTCTGAGGGGCTCAGAATTGACAAGCCAGAGGTGGGGCCTGTGTTCCTGTCTCCAGTCCACGATTTGCTGATCCATCTGTCTTCCTCAGAGAGAAAACACATAGTACGGGATTGTGCTTCCTTGGAAGATGACAGGCACCAGGCCAGACTCACAGACGTAAATTTGGAATTGGTTATTGGATCACTGGGCCAAACATGGGAAACATAGCTGAAGGGGAAGACACAGAGCAAAGGGATCAAGGCTCAGAACTTCTTGGCCCGTTTTGCAAAAGGAAAAGAAAGCTCGAATCTATTGTTGGGCTTTCAAGGGCAACAGCAAAGATTCTGTCCAATCCACCCCTCTCTTCCACTCAAATTATTTAACAGTTTTTCTTCCTTGGGCCCTGCCTAAGATCCTGACATCCCCAAGTTAGTCTTTTCCTGGGGTTAAATCATTAAGGCCTCATTTATGCAAATACTGAACTGAAGAAGTGAACCCATTGGCCAGGCTCCTTGGCCAAGGTGACTATGTAGGCTTTTACTGTCACAGTGTCCAAGGGGTGGGAAACACAAGAGATAAGTTTTGTTTTGTTTTTTATTATTGTGGTAAAATAGAGATATACCAAAATTTTACCAGTTTGTTCACAGCATTATGCACCATCACCACTACCCATTTCCAGAACTTTTCATCACCCCAAACAGAAACTCTGCACCCATTAAATAATTACTCTCCATTCCCCACCCCCACTCCCAACCCCTGGTAAACCCTAGTCTACTTGATGGCTCTGTGTATTTGCCTATTCTAGGTATCAACAGATCAGTTTTTAAAAATAACGTTGTCGGGGCGCCTGGCTGGCTCAGTCAGTACAGCATGCAACTCTTGATCTCGGGGCTCTGAGTTCGAGCCCCATGTTGGAGGTGGAGCCTACTTAATTAAAACAACAACAACAAAAACCTTTGTTGTTTTTGTGAAAATAATACATGTTTTTTAATACATGCTCAAGGAACACATAAAAGTACAAAGGCAGAGAAGCGAAGGAAAATGACATCATAACATACCACTGTCAACATTCGCGGAACGTCATCCCAGACACCTCTGTATGCACATAGACCTATAGAACCATAGGAAGAAAAATGCACAGTCCGATAAGCCTTATAAAAGTGAGATTATTCAATGCATGGGTGTTTTAAGTTAAGAACTCAATTTTTCTTGAATTGAATAGAAGAAAAACTAATTGAAGTCATTACCAAATTTTAGGTAAGTCATTTTTTACAGCAAAAATATTAGCTCTGAAAAATTCCTCTTTTTTAGTGAGAACGATGAAGTTGTTGGGCTCTTTATGATTTCCTGGTCAGGTTCCTCAACTTTGGCTGCAGCAGGTGAAACCCTCTGATGAGTGGTACTGAAGTGAGTGCTTCCTCTGTCCCCTGCTTCCTTCTCCCCAGCTCGAAATCCCAACTGTTGGTGGTGGATTATTACTCTTACCTCGTTAGGGCGATGACATTTGCATTCAGAACAGCCAAGGTGTGGTGGGTGAGGTGAAGGGAAAGCAAGGGGACCCAGGAGGCCTGAGGGCGTGACATGAGTGGTGGCTTAGCACTGGGGCCACATGCCTGGAGCCCTCTTTATCAGAGCGGAATAGTGGTACTGATGAGGACAGGTGACCTTTTTGAGGTCTTCCTATGGGCCAAGCATCATGCCAATCAAATACCTTATCCGAACATGCAACCTATGATCAATGCTAGTGGCTTGATATTTTTATTATTATTTTTGCTGTATGGATAAGGAGCTGAGGTTCACGGAAGGAACTTGCCCAAGGTCACAAATCTGTATGACGTGGAGCCCGGGCAGTCTGACTGCAGAGCTCTTATGCTCTGTGTTCTCTCCACATTGAATCTACACCTTCAGCAAGGGGGCTCTTTCTAATCAGGGCCCCTGAGGGTGAGATAGATGGTAGAGGGAGCCGTCAACCCTTCATGTCAACATGGCGCATTCTCATGACTGATGTTGTTAGCTCTCCGTAATGTTTCCATTTTTTTTTTAAGATTTTATTTATTTATTTGACAGAGAGAGACGCAGCAAGAGAGGGAACACAAGCAGGGGGAGTGGGAGAGGGAGAAGCAGGCTCCCCGCCGAGCAGGGAGCCCCACGTGGGGCTCAATCCCAGGACCTGGGACCATGCATGACCTGAGCCCAAGGCAGACGCTTAACGACTAAGCCACCCAGGCGCCCCATGATGTTTCCATTTGACAGATGAGGGAGAGAGGCACAGCCCAGGAGTCCGTTCCGGGGCTTGGACTCCAGTAATAGCCTTTTTCTGTTCTGCCCTCCTCCTCAACCCAGTGATTTCTGATCTGGACGGTAGTATTTGCCAATTTTAATGGAGGGGGCGGTTCCTTCAAAAACAAAAGAACTTTTGAACTAACATCTTCTGTTAGATGCCATATAAAGACAATTCAAGGGCCTTGTATTGGTTTCCTGAAGCTGCTGGGAACGAATTCCCACAAACTGGGTGGTTTAAAACAATAAAAATGTATCTTGTCTCAGTTCTGGAGGCCAGAAATCCCAAATCAAGGTATGGGCAGGCTGCACTCCATGAAGGCTAGAGGGAAGCATACTTGTTTGCATCTTGCAGCCTTCTGGTGGCCACTCATAATCCTTGCTGTTCCTGGCACATAGATGCATCACTGTAACCTCTGCCTCCGTCTTCATGTGGCCTGCTCCTGTCTTATAAAGACACTTGACATTGGATTCAGGGCCCATCCTAACCCAGGATGACCTCATTTCAAGATCCTTAATTTAATGACATCTGCAAAGACTCTTTTCCCAAATAAGCTTACATTCACAGCTTGCAGGCAGCCGCATCTTTGGGGGAGGTATTCAACCCACAGGCTTCATGGTGAATGACGGATTCTGGAAGCAGTACTCCTCCAGTTGGTGCTTTTGAGCCCATCAGTGACAGCGAACAGAATAGTCACTTGCTGGTTACATTTCAGGCCTGTCTTGAATAGGGAGCTCCTGGGGGTACCATGTGTTGGAGCTGGTCGGAGGATAGCCGCACCCACAACTGTAAATGTCTCTACATTTCACTATTAGATAAAAATTTCTCTTTGTGGGGCTAGAAAGGCACAGCCTCACGTAGTTTCTGATTAGAAAAAAAAAAAAAAAAAGGCAGCAAAGCTCAAATCCCATGAGGCTGTGTCACAAGTCTAATACATAATGCTTTCCTGTCTTGATCACACAAACACCCACAAAGGAGTTTAGTTCCATATTTTGAACTGTCCCTAAGTTTATAGGACATATTATGAGGTTGGAACATCTGATAAATTATTTTTGGAAAGTAAACTGAGGTCTGGTCCAGAGGGTACATTTAAACCTTTATCCCTTTGTCTGAGTTCATTGAGGATGGGGTGGTCTAAGGCTTGAGGGGCTGCACTTCTCAGGAAGCTGGTGCCATTGGATAGATTCTGGCTTTACTCTGCCTAAGAGACCCTTGCTCTGCCATCCTAATCCTTACAGTTCTCCTTTTCTTCTCTTTCCAGTCCTTCTCATACCAAATTTAAAGGGGCTTAAAATGGATTCTTTTTTTGATACCAAAGATCTTCCCTGGAAGGATTCTTCCTTCTTCATCATCCTGTCTACCCAGAGCTCATCCCCTCCTTGAATCCTTCTCTACTCATCTTAAACCTCAAAATTCGAGCCTTCCTCTGAAATCCCAAGGGCTTTATTGCCATACTACTTACCAGCACTTGCACATACCTCATTGCTGATGCTGGAAGAAGACAGATGATTCAGTGTCTTGCCTTCCTGTATCTCTCATCTGTGTCCAGGACCAGCATGACCGGATATCAGGTCAGTGCTGCTTGAATGACACTGGAAGCCCCTGGTATTCCTGAAATCCCCCAAATCAGCAGGAAGATACTTAGTTTCTCAGAATAAAACAGCTTCATAAGTTTAATTCATTTTGTTTGATTTTATTTTTTAAAATTAATTTATTTTCTTAATTCCAGTATAATTAACATAGTATCATGTTAGTTTCAGGCATACAATATACTGATTCAACATTCTATACATTACTCAGTGCTCATCACAGTAAGTACTCTTAATCCCCTTCACCTGTTTCACCCATCCCCACACCAGCCTCCCTTCTGGAAATCACCAATTTGTTCTTTTTATTTAAGACTCTGGTTCTTGTTTTTCTCTCTCTCTCTCTTTTTTTTTTTTTTCTGTGTTCATTTGTTTTGTTTCTTAAATTCCATATATGAGTGAAATCATTTGGTATTTTTCTTTCTCTGAATGACTTATTTCACTTAGCATTATACCCTCTAGATCCATCCATGTTGTTGCAAATGGCAAGATTTCGTTCTCTTTTATGAGTAATATTCTTGTGTGTGTGTGTGTGTGTGTGTGTGTGTGTCCATCTTCTTTATCCGTTCATCAACTGATGAACACTTGGGTTAATTCTAAATAATGCTGCAATAAATGTAGGGGTGCATACATCTTTTAGAATTAGTGTTTTAGTGTTCTTTGGGTAAATACCCAGTAGTGCAATTACTGGATCATATGGTAATACTATTTTTAATTTTTTGAGGAATCTCTAATGTTTTCCACAGTGGCTGCACCAGTTTGTGTTCCCACCAATAGTGCACGAGGGTTCCTTTTTCTCCACATCCTCACCAACACTTGTCATTTCTTTTGTTTTTGATTTTAGCCATTCTGACAGGTGCGAGGTGATATCTCATTGTAGTTTTGATTTGCGTTTCCCTGATGGTGAGTGATGTTGAGCATCTTTTCATGTGTCTGTTGGCCATCTGTATGTTTTCTTTGGAGAAATGTCTGTTAATGTCTCCTGCCCATTTTTAATTGCATTATTTGTTTTGGGGGTGTTGAGTTGTATAAGTTCTTTATATATTTTGGACTCTAACCCCTTATCAGATATGTCTTCACCCATTCAGTGGGTTGCCTTTTTGTTTTGTTGATTGTTTCCTTTGCTGTGAAGAAGTTTTTTATTTTGATGTACTCCCAATCGTTTATTTTTGCTTTTGTTTCTCTCTCTTTGGGAGACATATCTAGAAAAATGTTGCTATGGCTGATGTCAAAGACATTACTGCTTGTGCTCTCTTCTAGGATTTTTATGGTTTCAGATCTCACATTTAGGTCTAAGTTTAATTCATTTTGTAATAGTTGTCTTCCTTTGATTTTTATTTATCCTAGTTGTAGAAATCCCAGCTTTGCTCTTTTGAGTAGCCTACTGTTAGTTTTATTATTTAGACCTCATTCTTTTTTGCAGAAAAAAGTGTAAAGCCTCACATCCTGGGGTTTGACACATTTTTATCTGTGACTAATGCTATAGTCAGAGAATCAGTATGATAGAGACTACCAGTCATGCATTGCTCGTACACGGCTCCCTTCTGCTAGGAAGTGAAGCAGAATTCTCGAACAACCAGGGTGCTGAGCACACTGCCCATCCAGCCTTACTCATCCTTGGGTGCATGACCCTTCTTCAGTGGTCCCTGCTAATAGCTCACACTGGACCAACCCAAGTCAGGCATGGTTCACTGGTTTTTACAAAGATTTTTTTAATAATTGAGGTAGAATTGATATGTAACATTAGTTTCAGATGTACAACATAATGTTTCAAACAATGTATATATTGCAAAATGATCACTACAGTAAGTCCAGTTAACATCCATCAGCACACATAGCTACAGAAATTTTTTTCTTATCATGAAAACTTTTTAGAAAATTTATTTATTTGAGAGAGAGAGAGAATGAGCAGGAGGAGGGGCAGAGGGAGAGAATGAGGGGAAGCAGACTCCCCCGCTGAGCAGGGAGCCTGATGCCAGGCTCCACCCCGAGCCCTGAGATCATGACCTGAGTGAAACCAAGAGTCGGAGGCTTAACTGACTGAGCCACCTAGGCACCTCTCTTATGATGAAAACTTTTAAGATTTACTTTCTTAGCAACTTTCAAATATACAGTACAGTATTATTAACTATAGTCACCATGCTGTATATTATATCCCCAGGATTTATTTGTTTTCTAAATAGAGGCTTGTACCTTTTGACCACCTTCACCCATTTTGCCCACCCTCTACCTCCCACAGATTGGCAACCACCAATCTGTTCTCCACAGCTATGAGTTCAGGGAGTTTTGTTTGTTTGCTTTTAGATGCCACATATTAGTGAAATCATATGGTATTTGTCTTTCTCTTTCTGACTTATTTCATTTACCATAATGCCCTCAAGTCCATCTACGTGGTCACACATGATAAGATTTCCTTCTTTTTATGGCTGAATAATAGTCCATTAAATATATGTGTAATATATCTTCCATTATATATACATATACATATGTTATATATGTATACACACAAACACATACATACATACACACACATATATCTGACATTTTTTATCCATTCATCTGTCAGTGGACACTTAGGTTATTTCCATGTCTTGGCTATTGTAAATAATGCTGCAATGAACATGGGGGTACAGATATCATTTTGAGTTAGTGTTTTTATTTCCTTTAGATAAATACCCAGAAGTCGAATACGAACCTCCATACTGTTTTCCATAGTGGCTGCACCCACTTTTTGCTTTCCTACCAATCGTGCACGCACAAGGGTTCCTTTTTCTCCACATCCTCTCCAACTTCTAATTTCTTATCATTTTGGTAATAGCCATTCTAGCAGGTGTGAGGTGATATCTCATTGTGGTTTTGATTTGCATTTCCTGATGATTAGTGATGGTGAACACCTTTCCATGTACTTATTCGACATCTATATTTCTTCTTTGGAAAAATGCATTTTCAGATCCTCTGCCATTTTAACCGGGTTATTTATTTATTTGCTATTGAGTTGTATGAGATTTTCATATATTTCGGGTCTTAACCCCTTATCAGATATTTGATTTTCAAATATTTTCTCTGATTCAGTAGGCTGCCTTTTCATTTTGCAGATTGTTTCCTTTGCTGTGCAGAAGGTTTTTAGTTTGATGTAGTCCCACTTGTTTGCTTTTGCTTTTGTTGCTTTTGCTTTTTGTGTCAAATCCAAAAAATCATCATCACCAAGACTGGATGTCAAGGAGCTTACGATCTGTGTTGCTTTTACATGGATTTAATCCTCTCAACAAGCCCATATAGTGAGTGAGCATTTTAAAATGAGAAAACTGGGGCCCTGAGAGGTGAAGTGAGCTGCCCGAAGTCACATAGTTGGCTCTGGATGCTTGGCCTCAGAGTCTGTGCATCTGAGCACTCTTGGCACCAGTGCTTGGCCCCTGACCTCTGTGTCATGGGTCTGGGGAGGCGGGGAGGGTCATAGCTACAAGCTATGAGTTAACATGTCTACTACTTCCTGGAAGAGATAGTAGACATCTTAACAACATTCTTCTGGGACACTGTGATGTGGGGAGCAAATCACAACACATCTCACTTAGTATGATGAGAATCCCATGGGTTGGGTCCTACACACTCTTTTTAATCCCCATTTTACTCATGAGGAAATTGCAGGTTCAACCGCCTGGATTTGCCCAAAGTCACCCAGTGAGTAGGTAGTGGAGTGAGATTTGAACCTAATCCTCCTCTCCCTAAGTTGACTGTTCCTAGGAGCACACTTTCCCATAAATGTTGGGACAGTGCCTCCTTGGTCTGCCTTGATTGTATTCACAAAGCTCACTTCTCCCAAAGCATCTTGTGCTCCGCTGCCCTCTTGTCTGAAATCCCCCAAGCAGCCCTGCCTCTGCTAGACCCTGACCCTGCAGGGCCTCCTCCGCCAGGCAGAGCTCACTACTGAGTCCCAGCACCTGGCCTGGAGTAGGTGCTCACAAACGGCATGTGGAAAGAATGGATGGATTTGTTCTGGGTCAGGAGTTTTTCCCAGAAAATCCCAGTTAAAATGCAAATGCGTTGCCTGGAATTTGTTTATTGCTTCTCTCCCAGGGAGCAAGGTTTTGAGGAATGACTTGATAGGACTAACGAATAAAGGGAGGGGAAGCCCTTGAGTTTAGGGAAATGCCCAGGGAAGAGGGGTGGACGCCAGGGAATTAGGAGCAGGATGAGGGACCTTGAACACTGTGGAAGAAAGATGAGGAAGCAATCCTAGTCCCAGGGGGTGGAATAGGCTCCGCCCTCTTCAGTTGTGCCCCGGGCTGGCTGATTCTCGGCGCACAGTGGGTCTGACCGCCTCCGTAGACAATGGGAGAGCCTCACAGGCAGTGTCTAAGGACCGATTTCTCCCAGTTCTGGAAAAGGGCCCAAAGTTCAGGTTTCCCCGAGGGGGTCCTAGAAACAATCACGTTGGGGTTAGAGGAGCTGAGTTCAAATCTTGTCTCCACAACCTATCCACTGGGTGGCCTGGGCAAATCCAGTCACTCGAATTGACTACCCACCAGTACTGTCCTATTAGGTCAAATCTTGGCTAGATCCTGAAAGGAGAGGGAGCACCATTGGACCCATCTCTCACCACCCCCACCCTGCCCCAAGTTCATCAAGCAGCCCTGACCCACCCCCTCCAGCAGGCAAATTTTCTCCCAGACCTTTCTCTATGCATTGACGGACATAATTATATATAATACATGGAAATTGGATCACACTCTACATATAGTTCTGTGGCTTATCTTCTCCATTTACACAATTGGGCGTCTTTCTCTGTCCATTCACATAGATCTGCTATCATCTTTTGGAAAGAGTTTCGTTGTATTTCATCATAGGGCATACCAGACATACCACAATACACTAAGCCGGTCTCCCACTCACGAACAATGTAGTTGCCTCCAACTTTTAGCTGTTGCCAACGCTACAACGAACATCTCCCCACCAGAGCAGTCTTGTTTTTAAAAGAGATTCCACCAACCCCTGTGCTTTCTGACTGTGGCTTTTACTCAGGAAGGGGCAAAATGGGAGTGCGTTTCTCCTGGGCTGGGGGAACTCAGCATTCTACCCCCAGTGTCAGGCTGCCCGGCAAGCTGAGCCAGGCGGAGGATGAAGGGTTCCACCAGGGGTTCGGAGCCAAGATCAGCAAGAGTGGCCAAGCGTGAGAATCCGGACCCCTCGGAGTCGCCGCCCCGGCCGGCCTCGCCCCTCTTATTCCGGGGAATGGAGGCACCTCTGCATCATTTTCTGTAATGCCAAAGGAAATCCCCAGATAAGACGGACACCCTCATGCTTCACAGGAGGCACTCTCCCACTCCCATGGAGATAAACTCATGAATGCTTTCTTAATCACCACTCCTGATTCTCCAGGGCCCTGTGGGGCTGCCAAAACCTCTCTCAGCTCATTTCTGCTGCTCCCGCACAGACACAGCCCTTCCTAGAAAATCATCATTCCATTTACTGTTTATTCTTGGGGCGGAATATGGTTTCCCATAAACTCTCCTAGCACTAAAGGTGGTTTTTCAGTAAATCTCATGAAACGTCTACACAAAGAGGAAAAGACGTTCTTTATTTTATGTTTTCCATTTTATTTTTAATGTGTCAGAGTAAAGGAAACCATTGTTCCGTTTTCAGATAGTGATAAAAGCCAGCAAGAGACAGTTCTGGCCAAGGAACTCGGGACAGTTGGACAATCATTAACTTTAACTCACTAAGAAGTCAGTGTCCTGGCTGGGGTATGAAGAGGACAGAACTGTTGGATCGTGACACATCGGAGTACACGAGTTTGTCATATTAGTCATTTGTGGTCTTGACTTTTGCCACCTCTGAGAACCAGGTGCCATTAGCTCCTCATTATCTCTAATGACTTTTTAAAACATAACTTCATCCTAATTAATAGCTTAAATAATAGGCTCGGTGTGCTTGTATTTTTTTCCAAAAGCATATTAAAATTTTAAAAATGTTGAATATTAGGGCACCTGGGTGGCTCAGTCGGTAAGCGTCTGCCTTCGGCTCAGGTCATGATCCCGGGGTCCTGGGATCGAGCCCCGCATCGGGCTCCCTGCTTGGCGGGGAGCCTGCTTCTCCCTCTCCCGCTCCCCCTGCTTGTGTTCCCTCTCTCGCTGTGTCTCTCTCTGTCAAATAAATAAATAAATAAAATCGTTTTAAAAAATTAATTAATTAAAAATGTTGAATATCACCTACAATGTTCTGGAGTCCAGAACAGTGGCACACTTTAATAAACATTGGACTTGATTGGACCCCAGATTTCTAGCCTCCTGCTGGGGAGTGTCTTCTAAGGCTAACAGAATACTGTTCAGACATGGAAGCATTACCATCTGTCTTCGCATTTTTGTGCATTTAATGTGCCATAGATCCAGAAATTGGGGTTTGGGAAGGATGGAGAAATTACCTACTTATGAAAGGTAGGGCAGCTGGTTGGAAAGCTCATGAGTTTTGGAATCAGGTACTAATCTTAGGACATTGGTAAGATTCCTCATTTGTAAAGGGGGCATATTAAGAGCCACTTTATAAGGAGAAACAAAGATTACATGAGATAATAAACAAGTGCCTGGTTGAGGGAAGGTATCCATACCCAGTGGTAACCAGCTTGACCATCAATACAAGTCTAGATGTGGCAATCACCCAAGTGCACCCAAGTGCATATCTGAACCAATGGCAGGGTACACCCTGTCCCAGCAGGACCTTCCCAAGACTAGATGAAGAATCCATAGCCTTTGAAAGAGGTTTCAAATAACGGGAGGGTCAAGCTTCCTAAGGCTTAAGATAAGGGAATGGAATACAGCCATGCAACCGTTAGGAAGTGCTTGGGAGGCATCCTGCTTTTGAGTTTCCCTTGATTATTGGAGAAGCAGCATGAGTTCTTCCCAATGTCCAGGGCGTTGAACCTCATGTGGAAACCCACAGATGATTTAGGGGTTCCAAAATAAGGTGATATTATTTGCTATGATTAGGCATCCCTCCCTGAAAGGGGGAAAGATGAGGTCCAGTGTGAACGTTTTTGAGTGGGAAAAGGCAGCATGGTATCATGGTGAAGGGCATGGGCGTGGGGCTGGGTGTCAGGGTTCAGCAAAGAGGCTGACGTGGCTGGAGTGGACTGAGCAAAGGAGGTGGGGGGGGTGGAGCATCTTGTGCTTGCACACCTCCAGGGGACGGCACTCACGGAGACCCCGAAGGGAAAGCTGCCCTCTAGACACAGTGGGAGCGGAGTCAGGCAGAGGAGAGCCAGGAGGAAATGCTGTAGGGCCTTGAAAGCCATTATAAGGACACTGACAAGTAGCCTGAGATGAGAAGATATTTGAGCGGAAGAGGGACATGGTCTGACTCACTCTATTTTGCTGAGTTTATATTAGTCATGTCACAGAGCTAGTGTCTATTTCTTTAGGTCTAAAGTAGAAGCCAGGCATGGTATGGTGGCTTTAATACTGTCTTGGCAATGATAATGATCTCATTTCTGTGTCTAAAGGGAAAAGGAAACATATTACAAGTTTTCTAGTCCCAAGTAAGAGGATTCATTGACCAAGCAGCTCCCCTACCTCTGCCTGCAGAGTCTGAAAGGGAGAAGCAGATGGGGAAGAGAGGGGGTTATGGGGACATGGAGACCTGACCTGAGCCAACTGTGTGACCTCGGGCCAATGATTTAGCTTCTGGGGATTTTCAGCTTCTTCAGCTATACGATGGGGATAACAATACTTGTCCTCAGGACTGCTGAAAGGAGCAAACAAAACACCTGGGAAAGCGCCCCAGGTACACAGTAGGCCCACAACCGATGTGACTATTCTCTGAGCCGTGTGCCAGGATCGGCAGGTGTCTGAGTGTTATTAAGCTGGGACTTCTTTCTTTGTCTTCTGGGGTTAGGATTAGGATTTGTGATGAAAATATTTCTGTCGGGGGCACCTGGCTGGCTCAGTCCTTGAAGCATCTGACTCTTGATTTTGGCCATGATCTCAGGGTTGTGAGGTGGAGCCCCGGGTCAGGGGCATGGAGCCTGCTTGGGATTCTCTCTCTCTCTCTCCCTCTGCTCCTCCCCACTGTGCGAACAATCTCTCTCTCTTTCTCCAAAATAAATAAATCTTTAAAAACAAACAAACAGGGGCGCCTGGGTGGCTCAGTTGGTTAAGCGACTGCCTTCGGCTCAGGTCATGATCCTGGAGTCCCGGGATCGAGTCCCGCATCGGGCTCCCTGCTCAGCGGGGAGTCTGCTTCTCCCTCTGACCTTCCTCCCTCTCATGGTCTCTGTCTCTCATTCTCTCTCTCTCAAATAAATAAATAAAATCTTTAAAAAAAATAAAAAATAAAAACAAACAAACAAACAAAACAATCCAAACCATTTCTGTCTGGTAGTGCCAGTAAACTATGGAAATGACATGGAATGGCCATTCCAGATGCATGAACACACTGATGGAGTGTGGCAGGCATCGAGGGGCTCTCTTAAGCTGATGTAAGTTTAAGTGCGGTGGCATTTATTGCCTTTTTGAGCAAGGGGTGGGAGAAACAAAGAGCACTCAGGCAAACCAGAAGTATCAGGCATCCCCCTTACCAGCCTCCATTGCTTTTTGCTGCTCCATGCTGGTCCTCTGTCCTCCTTTACACCCAGCCCGTGGTGTGGGGTCTGCCCTCCCTGGCCCATCGGGTGTGGTGGTGGACAGGGGAGGGGGTGGGAGGGCTCCAAAGCAGCTGAGCAACTACAGCCCTCACAGAAGATGCGCTCAGATGTGGTGCTGAGAAAACAACTCTGCTTCCTGCAGAGACTTCAAAAGCCCACACCCTGTCTACTGCTGCACATTTTTGCAGCTGAAGGAGAAACTGCTGGAAATAGGAGTTTCCCTGATGTCATTGGGATGATGCCGACTATGTTCTCCGGGAGACATCAGGGAGTTGGCTCAGGAAGGGCTGGGTGGGAAGTGATGCAACTTTGGACAAAGGGTCTGGGCTCTTCGCAAAGGGAGGTCAGGTGGGGCCCCTGGGTTCTGAGTTGGTTGGGCTTTCACCTGCACCAAACAGCAGTAGAAAATTCTAGTCCTAAGAGTAGAGGGTATGGAGAG